GATACACAGACTGGTAGCAGCTCTCCAGGGCTTTCAACAGTGTTTCCCAGCTATGGGATTAGACCTAAAGCATGGGATCACCTGGGGAGCTGTGGCGCCCGCCTGTTTCTCCTGATCGCCTTTCTTTTCCCCCTTCCCAGGAGATTTCCGCAGGCTCAGGAAGCATGGCTGAGGCTGAAAGCGGCTCTGAGAAGGTGCCTCTTTTCAGGCAGAAACAGCGAGGCGGCCTCACCTACCGCATCCCGGCCCTGCTCTACCTGCCCTCTGAGGCCGTGTTCCTGGCCTTCGCAGAGGAGCGGTCCTCGCCCAGAGACGAAGCCGCCAAGTTCCTGGTGATGAGACGGGGACAGAGGGAAGGCATGTCTGTCCAGGTAGTGCTCTTTCCTAGAGTAAGGGCTTGAAGATGGCAGGCATGCTCTTCATCAAAAAATAAATCAGGCAGAAGGGCCTTTTGTATACCTGTGCAAGCTCAGAGAGAAAGTAAGGCCTGCGGCTCCCAGCTGGGCCATGCCTTGTTTTCTGCCTGAACTTCAACAGGATCGCATCTTCGATATTCTTACACATTCGCTATTTCCACGGAGCAAGTGCTGGAGAGTTGCGATATCTTCCATCCTTGCAAAATGGAGGTTAAACCCAAGGCTAAATGGGAAACACCTTAGTATATTCAAATGAAACACAGATTCAAGCCAGGGGCAGCATTCTGCATTTATCCTGAGCTGGCGTGCTGTGGTGGTTAAGAGCCCGGGGCTGAGGTTCTAGTCCCCACTCAGCCATGAAGCCCACTGGGTGCGTTTGGGCCAGTCGTGGACTCCCGGCCTCACCTACCTCACAGGGCTGTTGTTGTGGGGATAAGATGGAGGAGGAGAGCCTTGTAGGCCTCCTTGGGCTCCTTGCAAAATGAAGATTGGCGAGGCAGAAATGCAATGGAATAATCGTAATGTAATGTAATTACGCGTTTGAACCACGATTAAGCATTCTCGTGGACATTGAATCAACTGTTTAGTCTCCCATTTCCCGGAGCGGCTGTCACGCATCGTGTGTTTGTCAAGGAGTGCGTGTCAAGCATCGCACACCTCAGTGACAGGCGCAACATCCGGGAACCTGCAGGGCTGGACTGCCAGCCGCTCTTTGCAGTGTGGCCCGCGGGACGTGTGCCGGCACAGGTTCCACCGTCCCTGCTCAGCATGCGGAGGACTCCGCAAGTTGTGGACTGGAAGGTGCCACGTTGCAGGTGCTGGTGGGAAGAACTGCTTGACGGCTTTTCAAGAGCTGAGCAAGGCACACTCTGTGGCTGAGAACGTGTTCTGGGAACCCAGAAGCCCTGGGCTTGAGTCCCAGGCCCCAAGAGTGGAGCAGTGGGTCCGCCTGGAAGCAGGGACCGAAGGAGCCGTCCTTGAATCCAGCTGCCAGGGAACAGCTGGGGCTGCTCTCTGCTTCTTGGCTAAATCGGACCGAGGCTTCTTGGCTTCTCAACCCCAGGCTTCCCCCATGCTTCTCTGCCCCTTCTGCTAGCTGGAAGGTGTCACCTGCCCAAATTAATGGGCTCTGCATTCCAAAGGCAGGAGGGATCGGGGAAGAGTTCCAGCCATCAGGTGCCCCCATCAGGGAATCTCGGCGGACCATCCCTGACTCTCATCAAGCAAAGACTCTAGGGATGATCGCCCAAAACAAAACAAAACAACACCATGGGGTCACATATTACCTAAATAATACACTGCTAGAAACAGCTCCCAGTCGTGTAACCATAATGCTGTGCCTAAACATGCAGAACATGCAGAGGTGCTGGGATGCAAGGAACTGCGGCAGCTCTTCCAGCACCACTCAGGGGCAGCCCTGCATGTTGAGCCTGCAGTTCCCGAGCGGACGTTTGGGCCACCGTCTCTTTTTACGCTGGCATTTGGTGGGCAGAGTTATTTAAAGCTAGCCTGGAAATAGCCAGCACACTCATCCGTCGTCCAGTTTCAAAATCTGCCTCTTTCTAGGTCAGGACAGCACGCTTAAACTCGCCGAAGCAAGCGTGATTGCTATTCCCGGGTGCGGTTGCCTGCCATTCCTACGCAGCGTGAATTGTGTCAGGGGCAGACCTGCCTGGCAACACCTTACTTCTGGAAATGCAAGGCTGCCTCTAGTTCGAAGCCTGTCTCAAAGTGCAGAATAAAGAGCACATAATTATTTTGGAGGCAGGTTCTGTGCCGCATCCCGGAAAGTGCTCTGGGAAACGAATGCTGAGCAGCGGGAGTTTCGGAACCGGGTGGGGGCTGCGGGGGCTGCGGGGGTTCCCTGGCAATGTGTGCAGGGCCACAGCGTGGGCGGGATGCGGCCAAGCAGCCACCCGGGCCCAGGGTGCCTGCCTGCTGGGTGGCTGGGGAGCATGGACCGCGGGAATTCTTGCGCCCCCGTCCGACTTGTGAGTCGAGTGCTGTGTGAGGGAGCGTTGCGCTGAATCGGTCTGGTCTGGCAGGCGCTGCAGGGAGCCCGATTCCATGTGCTCCACCAAGAGACCGTGGGGTTGGGTGCATTAGGAGCATGCGAACCGTATCGTAAGCGTGTGGCTGAACATGCGCCCCAGGGCAGGGGCTGTCAGCCAGCTCAGCTGAGCACACTGGCAGTGCATCATTACCCATGTGCCCTGTGCTGCAGGGCCAGAGACGCGTCCCGGTCACCTCTTT